TCTGGTCAAGGCTATGGTTTTTCCAGTGGTCATGTATGGATGTGAGAGTTGGACTGTGAAGAAAGCTGAGCGCCAAAAAATTGATGCTTTTGAACTGTGGTGTTGGAGAAGACTCTTGAGAATCCCTTGGACTGCAAGGACATCCAACCAGTCCATCCTAAAAGAGATCACTCCTGGGTCTTCATTGCAAGGACTGATGCTGAAGCTGAAACTCCAGTACTTTGGTCACCTCATGTGATGCGTTGACTCATTGGAGAAGACCCTGATGCTGGGAGGAATGGGGGCAGGTGGAGAAGGGGATGACAGAAGATGAGATGGATGGATGGCATCATTGACTCGATGGATATGAGTTTGAATAAACTCCGGTAGTTGGTGATGGACAGGGAGGCCTGGCGTGCTGCGATTCATGGGGTCACAAAAAGTCGGACATGGTTGAGTGACTCAACTAACTGAGCTGATAGGACTTTGAACTAGAAATATGTATAAAGATGTTTGGAAATGAATACTCTAATAATTTATCTTACTTGACTTTCCCTAGGAAGTTAGCTGTCCACAGATTTAGCAAAGTTAGCATTGTGTCAGAGCACTGTAAAGATTATTACAAAAGAATAAATAAATAAGAAGCAAAATAAATAAATAAGTGGAGGGAATATTTGATAAGGAAAGTTTGAAAGTAAGCAAATAGACTAAGGAGGAAAGTAGTCTTAAGAAAAAGACAGGGAAAAATTTAGCTAGGATGAATTCTGAACTACTAGAAACAAGTTCAAAATGAAGAAATAATTCCAAAATAATTTTCCTTTATAACTATCACACCTAGCATATTTTAGAGTAACCCCTAATAGTGAGACCCACAAGTATCCACTAGGAAAAGTTTGCAAGATAACAAACCCCTTTGAGAAAAACAGTAAAAACCTGGGCTTTATCCCACTGGCTGTACTGATTATATTGCATTATGGAAAGAATTTGAAATTTGGAATAAGACACAGACTTAAGTCTCAGCTCTGTCTGTGCAAGATTGTTCAAATTGATCCCTCTGAGTCTTGGCTTTTTTTAAAAGAAAGAAGAAGAATGTAATAGTCACCTTTCCTAAATGTTGTAAGTTTCTAGGATAGCGCCTAACACAGAGTAGGCATTTAATAGTAGATTTTGTTACTAGCAATTATAATGACCCATATATATTCATGTCGACACAATGCCATTTAACTATGCCTTTGCTCTGGCCAGAGAAATGGAAATTTTCCACAGGATAATTTTTTCTTAATTAATTGAAATATATAGTTTCCCAGTATTTTTGACCTGCATATAAAAGGATGTAAATATATTTTATTATCATATTTTCCAGGTATTTTAAACATTACTAGAATGCCACAACAGTGATTTTGGTCGTGGACATATCAGCCAACTCCTGGAGTACCAATTCTGGGGTCAATGAGCCCATAGGAAATAACATTAGAAACCTGTTTCATGTTATTCATGAGTCTTCTGTAGGACTAACTGAAATAGATGAGAACAGACAGCTTCCTGTGAGACACTGATCATCCATCGGGCTGTTCCCTCTAAATACCTCATTTAAAAGGAAAATGTGAATAAAGATTTTTAAACTGCTTATTAAAGTTTAGTCAGGTTGATCAAAGCTCTTTTTTTTTTCAATACTGAGTATGGATAATGCCTGAACACAGCTAAGTGTTACCTGTGGATTGAGCAAAAAACTAAGTTGTTTTGGTTTGTTTTGTTTTGGCCACGTTGCACCGCTTGCAGGATCTTAGTTCCCCAACCAGGTGTCAAACCCATGCAGTGGAAGCATGGAGTCTTAACCACTGGGCTGCCAGGGAAGTCCCCCAAAATAGGTATTTTCAATGCTACAAGTCAGATCTTTCCTACTTGAGCATTTGCCCCTTTTAAGATGCTTGTCAACCTTATCATCAATGAAAAACAAGAATTTTTCTAGATCTGAAAGTAGAGGGGGTGCCTTTTTAAATGTCAGTCCACCATTCCACCATGTAGAGTTTATCTTAATAGAATAAAAGTGAAGTTGGAAGTGTGAGTTAAGTATCTTCTTTATAATCAAGAGGTTTGTCTTTCCACACTTTCCATTTGGAATGAAAGTAGGATAAAACTCTAAAACAAACCATAACATTTGCTGAATTTTATGTTTTTCTTCAGCGTATAACTTATATCTGTCTTCCATTTCTCTCTTTTGTTGTCTTTATGCATAAGATTCTGTCTTCTCTTACAGATGAGGGGAAAGTAGATGTGAGTGTGGTAATGGATGAAGGAAACTTTTTTACAGGTAGGTTAGATTTTTATTAACTCATTGTTAAACATCTACTTATACTATACAAAAGCATACTTTTGTATCCAAGTATGGATACAAAAAAACCAACCTTCCAGGATCTTATGTAGTTGGGGCAAGGAAAAAACTATAAATCAATGCATAAAATGTTATAGGTGCTTTGTTTAAAACCTATACCAAGCAAAGGAAGAGCAGAATGGTCACTTGAACCTGAGGAGGAGAAACTGGTGAATGCTTTAATAGTATGGGCGACAGTGAGCTGATCCTTGAAAGGTGAGTCAGTTTTGCCGGATAGACAGAGTGGGATGGAGAGAACTTGTGGCTGTTACCTTATGTGGCAAAAGACCATATATGTGGAAATGTGATTAAGAATGATCTGGAGATGGATAAAATATCCTTGATTATCCAGCTGACCCTAAATGTAATCACAAATATCCTTAGAAAAAGGAAGAAGAGTGAAATTTGATGACAGAAAAAGTAGAAGGCAATGCAGCAATGGAAGCCAGATGCTATATTGCTGACTTTAAAGATGGAAGAGGGGTCATGAACCAAGGAAAGTAAGTGGCCTCTAGACATGGAAAATGCAAGGGAACGGATTCTCTCTCTAGAGCCTCCTGAAGGAGCCAGCCTTGCAGATACCTTGATGTTACCCCAGTGGGACTGACTCAGACCTCTGACCCCCAGAACTGCACAAGAAACAAATCCATGTTGTTTTAGGTCACCAAGATTTTGGTAATTTGTAACATATAGCAATATCAGGAAACTAATATAGGAGACAAATTATGGAGGACCTTGGATACCAAATAAAGGAGTGTGAATTTTATTCTGTGCCGAGTGGGAAGTCATTCCAGGGTTTTAAACAGGGGACTATGCGATTAGATTTTCAAATTAGAAAGATCACTCAAGCTTCAGTATAAATGATGGATGGAGATTTGTGTGCTAGAATAGAGTCTGGGAGACTAGTTACGAAGCAGATTATAACTGTTCAGGCAAAAGACAATAAAGGGCAGAACTAAACCATTATTTATGAGACTTGAAAAGAGGCATATGTAAGAGATGTTGCAGATGTAGAATCTATAGGATTTGGCTACTCATGAGCTATGGAAATAGAGCAAAAGGATGAAGTGAAGGCTGACTCCTTTGTTTCTGAGTTGGGTAGTTGGGTGGGTGATAACTACATTTACCAAAATAAAGACTTCAGCAAAACAGACTTAGGAACAAAGATATAGTCTTCATTTTGGTCATATTGAATTTGGGGTTCCTGTGAGACATCTGTGGGAAATTGAATGATAGGCAGTTGAATATGTGGGTAAGAATCTGAAACCACCTCTTTTTTCTGAGCCAGTCAGACCTCAAGTCAGGAAGAGAATCTGTGTAAATATGGAGTTAAATTCAGAGGAATTTACCTCAAAGCTTCAATTTTCTCCATAAAGTGTAAAACAAAATCGTCTACTGAAAAAAAAAAAAAAAAGGCACAGTAAGGAGGCAGGGAACTTCAAAAGAAGTATTGCTGATTTGGGGCTTTCCAGGTGGCACTAGTGGTAAAGGACCCACCTGCCAATGAAGGGGACATAAGAGATGCAGGTTCAGCCCCTGGGTTGGGAAGGTCCCCCAGAGGATGACATGGCCACCCACTCCAGTATTCCTGCCTGGAGAATCGCATGGACAAAGGAACCTGGCAGGCTACATTCCATAGGGCTGCAGAGTCAGACACAACTGAAACAACTTAGCATGCATGGACATTGCTGGTTTCAGATTACTTTGGTAGAAAATAGGAACTAGAGAAATATATGAAAGCACTGCAGAGAAGTGCCAAGAGTCAAACAAGGTCAGTTATCATAAATAAGTAACTTTTCCCATGATTATGGTATTCTTCAGGTGGACCAAGTTAGGAATTTCTCAAGGCTGATGTGCCAAAAGAATGAAAGCGTAAAGACATGAAAGGTGTAGTCAAGAGATTGGTTAAGTGGTCGACTATGGGCAGATAGGGAAAGAAGTGAAAATGGAAATTATAATGGAAATTATGAACTTAGAGAAAAGTGAGTGGGTGGAATGAAGGGCTCTACAGAGATTATAACATGTGTGGTATGAGTAAGGAAGTAAATGAAGTGGGAAAATATGAAGTTCTGGCCAGGAGCATGCATGTTAGAATTTAAGATTATAAAAAGCACTTCCAGGTGATAACAAAGTCAAGGGTATGTCCATGTCAGTTAACTAGTATAGAATTTATGAGGTAAGTCTGAGGATAAGGAAATCAGAGATCTGGAGAATAAGTTGTTGAATGAGCCCTCCAAATAAAGACTGGAATTCACTGTAATGATGCCAGGAGTTTAAGTGCAGAGGAAGACTGTGAGTAACAGGATATAAGCTCCTGACACGACCAAGAAATCAACTAAGTGACAATAAAAAGAAAGTGTTTCATAAATCTCAAAAGAGGAAAGGTTTGAGCATAGTTGGAAAGCAGCAACTGGAATCCAGGAGAATGCCAAGCCCTAAGGCAATGTGATATAGAATAATGAGCAGTTTTCTCTAAATAAAAAATTAAAATAAATAAAAATAATAATAGAAAAGTCTATTAGGAAAAGGTGAACTTAAGAAAGAAGGTAAGAGTCTGCAAAGAGATATCAAACTGATGATATAGAGAAATTGAAATTTAATGACATATGAGTCCAAAAGGGCACTATAGGAAGGGTTGAAAAGAAAACTAGCAATGGAAGAAAAATTAGAATGGTAAAACAGAATATAGACAGGGTAGACATTTTTGAGATCCTTACCTTTTGAGAAAGGAAATGATACAAATAGAAGAGTGGTACAAATAAAAGAATAATAACCTTGAGGCAGAAGGTGGTTCATGTCTGTCAAAAGCTTGATGAAGTTAGCAGACTGAGGAAACCAAAATTGAAAAAGATACATGTACCCCATTGTTCATTGCAACACTATTTACAATAGCTAGAACATGAAAGCAACCTAGATGTCCACCAACAGATGAATGGATAAAGAAGTTGTGGTACATATACACAATGGAATATTACTCAGCCATAAAGAAGGAATACATTTGAGTCAGTTCTAATGAGGTGCATGAACCTAGAGCGTATTATACAGAGTGAAGTAAGTCAGGAAGAGAAAGATAAGTATCATATACTAACGCATATATACAGAATCTGGAAAGATATACTGAAGAATTTATTTGCAGGGCAGCAATGGAGAAACAGACAAAGAGAACAGACTTATGGACATGGGAGAAGGGAGGAGAGGGTGAGATGTATGGAGAGAGGAATGTGGAAACTTTTATTACCATATGTAAAATAGATAGCCATCAGGAATTTTCTGTATGTCTCAGGAAACTCAAACAGGGGCTATGTATCAACCTAGAGGGGTAGGATAGAGAGGGAGAAGAGAGGGAGGTTCAAGCGGGAGAGGATATATGTATACCTATGGCTGATTCATGTTCAGGTTTGACAGAAAACAACAAAATTCTGTAAAGCAATTGTCCTTCAATTAAAAAATAAATAAATTTTTGAAAAAAGAAAGAAGGCCCTGGAGAAAAGCCCAGGTTCCACAACACATGATCAAAAAGACTGTAAAACTTGGATTTTAATGCATGCACAAAATTTTATTTTAATAGCAGTTATTTCCTTATTGATATATTCTCTGCTGCTGCTGCTGCTGCTAAGTCGCTTCAGTCGTGTCCAACTCTGTGCAACCCCATAGACAGCAGCCCACCAGGCCCCTCTGTCCATGGGATTCTGCAGGCAAGAATACTGGAGTGGGTTGCCATTTCCCTCTTCAATGCATGAAAGTGAAAAGTGAAAGTGAAGTCACTCAGATGGTCTGTTTTTCTACTGAGTTTTAAGTCTTTTTATTACTAGATTTATTTATTTACTGCTGCTGCTGCTGCTGCTAAGTCGCTTCAGTCGTGTCCAACTCTGTGCGACCCCATAGACGGCAGCCCACCAGGCTCCGCTGTCCATGGGATTCTGCAGGCAAGAATACTGGAGTGGGTTGCCATTTCCCTCTTCAATGCATGAAAGTGAAAAGTGAAAGTGAAGTCACTCAGTCGTGTCTGACTCTTAGCGACCCCATGGACTGCAGCCCACCAGGCTCCTCTGTCCTTGGGATTTTCCAGGCAAGAGTACTGGGGTGGGTTGCCATTGCCTTCTCCGATATATTCTCTCACTCTACCTTTTTACTGATGAATGTTTCCATCTACTGACTCGCAGCCTAACTTTGATCACCTTTGTTTAGCCAAAATACTCTAAGATCATGTCTTAGCAGTAGTTTACATTCTTGCCAGGTTTGCTTCATTGACAAAGACAATATAGGGATTTCTTTTAACAATAAAGAATCATCATTCTTCAAATTGTCAACCGTTACCATGTTTTACTTTTTAAAGGTGAGAAAGTTGATGCTAGTAACCTGGAAAATTTTCTGGAAAATATGGGGATAGATCTCACGGAAGATAAAGGCATGGAACTACTGAACAATCTTCCAGTTGATGGTGAGCATTAAAAATGTCACAGTGGGGAAAAAGTCATAGTGACCTTCAAGGAAACTTGAGACTACAGACTTACATGACTAATACGCGCTGTTTACGGAATGTCTCATGCCCTCCTCACCAAAATGATTTTACCAAGTTGAGAGTTGTTTCCATTCCTGAGTTTTATTCTTTTAAGTGAAATAATAAGAATGTCTAGCATAAAACATGCAAGTCTTTATATTTCTAAAATTGCGTGTGTTTTATTCTATTTTAAAATATCTAGACTGCTGTCTGAGCTTTGGATTTTTCCCTTTCTTGCAGCCCAAAGAAGGGTGTATATGAACAGGTTAATGAAAGAATTGCAGTCTCTTGAAGGTGAGTGAGAAGTATGAAAAGGCAATTAAAACTGAGGACATTGAGCTTTGTTCTTATTTTCAAAAACTCTGTTTTACATATTTCAGATTATTAATCCTGCTGTCCCAGTTATTAATTCAGTATTTATTCTTTATATGCCTTAGGTACTGTACATTCACCAAAATTGTTTAACTACAGTAAACTCCAAAGCTTTGGTTCCCAAATAAAGTTGTATATCAGAGTAACTGGGGAAGAGGGAAAGATTTAACATTCAGATTACTGGGCCTCTTTCAGTTTTATTGATATTGACTTTCCAGAGAGTACCTAGAAATACGTGTTATTAAATGTATAGGATTATGATAGAGTAAATCCACGGACAGGATGGATGGATGGATATTTCTCCATTAATTTAGCAAGTTTCAAATCCTACTGTACAGACATGTTTATAAAGGTTAATTTTAGTCTTTGTCATGACTTATCAGATATCTCCTGGAAGGAAATGGCAACCCACTCTAGTACTCTTGCCTGGAAAATTCCATGGCTGGAGGAGCCTGGTAGGCTACAGTCCACTGGGTCGCAAAAAGTCGGACATGACTGAGCAACTTCACTTTCTTTCTTTCTATAGTTCCTTTTGAAGAAGGAAATGGCAACCCACTCCAGTGTTCTTGCCTGGAGAATCCCATGGATGGAGGGGCCTGGTGGGCTGCAGTCTATGGGGTTGCAAAGAGTCAGACACCATTAAGCAACTAACACACACACACACATCAGGTACCTCCAACCCCTCAGTTTCTTCTCTTAAAAGTTTTCCAAATCCCAGAGATCAAAGTTTAGGAATTTCTGACTTAGACACCAAGATCACATTTACTTGAACAAGGAAACACAAACTTTAACGGACACAATGGACCAGCTAGACCTAATTGACATCTATAGGACGTTTCACCCCAAAACAATCAACTTCACCTTTTTCTCAAGTGCACACGGAACCTTCTCCAGAATAGATCACATCCTGGGCCATAAATCTAGTCTTGGTAAATT